ACTATTTTTATTGATAAAGCAATTACCAAATATTTATATCTTCACTTTAAATATTTTTTTTTAAGGTTAAATGTATCTTCAAATAGTTTTCGCCAACGAAAGGTAAGACATAAAAAAAAAAGAAAATAATAGTTTAAAAAAAAAAAAAAAAAACTTCCGCGATCGGGTGACTCAGACGGCATAATGAGATCACTCGTCATTAAAAAAAATGACTAACCACATACAAGATGAAAATAAAGAATAATTTAAAAAGAAACAGCATGACAAACATATTGGCAAGTTGAAAACTTTCGCTTCAGCTGACAGTCCTCATTTGACAAGTTGTTTTGTGAGAAACGGATATATCATTTATATATATATATATATATATATATATATATATATATATATACAAAACCAATTTTAGATAAAGTAAAAAGAAGGTGGAAAATTTGTTGTATGCCGCGTTCCTTTAGAACTTTTTTCTTGTGCAATTGTTTCACCCTTAAACAAAGCGGCAATACCGTAAGGACGCAGCCGATTGCAGGGAGTAAAAGTGAAAGAAGATGAGAAGACGAAGAATAGGAGAGATTTTTTTTTTCTTAAATTATTTCACCCGAAGCTAATGCCATAAGAATGCAGGTGCTTACAGGGAGTAAAAATGACAGAGGGTTAAAAGACTGAGAATAGGAAAGATTTATGTTTTAAAATCATTTTAACGGAAGATAATGTCACTATAACGTAGAGGTTTACCCGAAGTGAAAGAGAATTAAAAAAAAAAAAAAAAAAAAAACTGAGAATAGGGAGGATTGCGGAACAGACAAAAAGATAAACGCCATTCAAGAAGACAGAAGATGGTGACTGACGTTGCATCTAAATTTTTGAAGATTTAATTATCGGACAGCAAGAAAACGGAAGATAGTTACACAGGTGGGAAGTGCGAGAAAAAAAAACAGTTGGAGTAAAAGTGGCGGTCGCATTTAGCTAGTTCAACAGTAAAATGGTGGGACGCAGATGCCAATATAGCAGCTCGCTTAAATTCATGCAATCAGGGTATTAGGGGAAAATGCTTGCCGGAGCATTGCCACGAAGCTATTTGTATAAAAAACAGAGGGAAGTCACCTTACGTCACGTCACGTCACGTCACATCACGTCACGTCAGTGAGAAAAATCGCTGATGTCGTGATGTTTGGTCAGGATCGAATAGATTACAAATACTTTATTGAGTTTTGTCAAGAATCGGACTAAAATAATATTTACGTTGATGTGACTAAATCTGCGTATGAGGGAGAACGAACGCTGAATTTTTTAACATTTACGTTTATTTTTTTATAAAAATATGGGTTTGGATATATAGTCTGGCTAATTTCCTTCCTTTCTATTTCCTTTTGCTTATATTTTTTATCACTTTCTGATTAAGGATCCCGCATTGAGATAACAGAATATCTCCCAAGAAAGGTGAAATGTGCTAAGAACTTGGATGCAAATATAATGTAGATACCGTAGCGATTAATCATTCTCTCTAAGTAAATTACTTACTCTTTTAATTAGAGAGGTATTTGTGTATACCTCGACTCATTATAGCCAACAAATATTGGGTTGGTGCATAATTATCAGGCGTTTTTGTAGGCAACTTATAAAAATAGCTGTTTTGTTTACTTTTTTAAAAATAAAATAATATAGTATATTTTGTAGGACCAGACCCATAGTTTGAACGGACAAATGACAAGTAACCAGATATTCCATAAACGCTTCAATCCGATTATTAATATTATTCAGAAATGGTGTGAATACTTGTTCATGTGGGCCATTATCTGATGCAACATAGAATATCCAGACCCGAGGTCTGCGCATATACCAACTTTGGGATGATGAAGATAGCTAATCGGGAAGATAATAACGTGAGTACAATTAAAAATGGGGTCAGCTAAAGTTTGGCTTAATACAAAGAATACAGAAAACAAAACGAAATGCAAATAAAAAAAAAGTTACGATCAGAACAAACATTACTGAAATATTATGCGCGCAACATCACGACCTAACATGCGCAAGTGAAATATTTGCGTAGTCGTTTATAACGATTTTTACGAACGCGTCAATAACGGCAAACGCGTTCAGGAACTTTCATTACAGACAGAAGCTGCAAAGAGGAACAATCGTTTTATTTATTTCATTGAGAATTTACAAAGAGGAACGATCAATTAGTTTTTTTTTTTTTCATACCCTGCCTGGTGGCAAACGCTGCTGGTGGCGCCTGGGGTGGCGGTGGTGCCATACCCACCAAACCGTAAGATCTGGCCTTCTTCAGGGTATATCTATATTTCTGAGATGAGGTATTTTAAGTATTTAAACTATTTACATTGGTCGAACTGTGGCCCTCATCTTTATTTTCATAATCAGGACGCTTCGGCCGTTGTAGGCTCCGACCTTCTTCAGAATTTATCTATATTTCGGAGTAATTATTTACAGTATTTACATTGTTCAGACTGTTGTCCTAATATTTATTGTCATATTCACAACGTTTCGGCCGCTGTACGTTCCGGCTGTCTTCAGGTGATATACGTTGGAATTTTGAACCAAACCTTTTATTTTCTAGATATCTCAGTTTCAGTTAACGCTCAACGCTCCAAGGTTTTTGCTCACCTCACCTGTGGCCAGGTATTGAACTCACAACCTTAGCATATTAATTTCAACTGAGTCGTGCTTTTGTTTTACATTGGCTTTCCTAGTAGTGCAAAAATATTTTTAATAGATCTATTAAATGAACTGAGAGGTTATGGTAAGGTCATGTTTACCAAGTCTGGTTCCTCAAGGACATATGGTGCAGCGGAAAATAAAAAGCGTTGGCTGAATCCAGTGACTTAACCCAAAGAGTTGTGAGTTCAATACCTGGAGATAAAAGATAGTGAGACATCCGGAAGATGCATGGCACGTCAAAATTCCAATCACCTGACGAAGACCGGAGCGTACAACGGCTCAAACGTCGTGAATATCTCAACAAAGATTATGACAACAGTCCGAACAATGTAAATAATGTAAGTAATTAAAACACCTCATCTCAGAAATATAGACAGATCCTGACGAAGGACGGAGCGTACGACGTCCAAAGCGTCTTGAATATGACTATAAAAATGAGGACCACAGTCTGAACAATGTAAATAGGGTAAATAATTAAAATACCGCATCTCTGATATATAGACATACCCTGAAGAATGCCGGAGCGTGCAACAGCCGAAACGTCGTGAATCTGTCAACAAAGATGACGACAATTGTCCGAACAATGTAAACAGTGTGTATAATTACAATGAGTCATCTCAGAAATATAGAGAGATCGGGAAGAAGACCGGAGCGTGCGACGGCCAAAGCGTCATGAATATGACTGTAAAAATGAGGACCATAGTCCGAATAATGTAAATAGTGTAAATAATTACAATGCATCAGAAATATAGTCAGACAAAAACGTCTTTTCTTTGATCATTCTGAAGTGATGTCCGGTCAGCACCTTAACCGATTAACTGACACCGCTTGCTTCAGATTATTTGTTTTCTTTTTGTTTAGAAGCGACGATTAAAGATGGCACAAAGTGCGCCACCAAACCTGTAAAAATACAATTAGAAATTCAATTGAAAGATTCTGTATGAGAATTTCTGTTATCTGCCTCAGGCGTTGCATCTATATTTAAAAGTGAAAATTTCATTTTTAACCGTGAACAATTAAATTTCCTGTCGAACGTCTGAGGACGACAAGATTTTAATCGCATATTCCTATTATTTTTATAAAAAAAATTCAAATTTTCATGTAAACACTGATGTCTGTCATGGGAGAAATCAAAACCAAATAATGATGAAAGCTAAAATATATGATCATATATGATATATAATATTAAAACAAAAGACGGAAAATGCAACAACAAAAGCACATTGGAATGCAGGCAGCCCGAGTGAAGACACTCGGTTCCCCATGTTAAAAGCCGACCTTGTATAACAAACTGACTCGGCGGGGGGTGTAAGTAAATACAAGCACATTGGAATGGAGAAAGATGGCTCCCAAAAGCTATGCAGAGTTTTAAGAAACAAGAATATTTCTCTAGAAACAAAGAGTGCGACAATTTTATATAATATAGTTCTTCCTATAAATGTGGTTCTACGGAGAGATGGCGAGAGTTAGAGGAAATTACTCTTTGAGTAACTACTAAGTTTTAAAGAACATAAACGCAGAAAGTGTCACTTAATTAGAATAAGAAAACAGATAGTTAAAGTCTCTAGGAATCCTAAGAAAATAGGGCTTGAAAAATTTGACATTCACAGAGCATATTGAAGACAAGTATGGACGAGAGTTAGGGCAATTAACCGAACATGTGTAAACTGATGGCCGAATAATGCCTGGAAGGGTTGATGAAAAGCTAAATCTTGCAATTCTTCAAAGGAGAGTAATTCTTGTTTTAAACGAAATTCAATGTACAATATATTCAGTTGCGAAAATATACTAAAATCATGTGTAATTTATGTTAACATTGAATATATCCAAACCGTGTATGTCTTTAGACTTTGCATTTTGAATATAAATTTGAAAGTCGGAAGCATTTTGCTCTGAGGATGAAAGTAGAGCAACACGTCTCTGATAAGCCAATATGATTTATACCAAAACTAAACTAAATGTAAGTAAAATAATTATATAATGTGGGTATCTCGAGGCGGTGTAATGGTTAACAAGCTTGTCTGGCTAGAACCATTATGTCTGAATAGTGAGTTCGATCCTCTCGGGGTTCCCTCATATTATCGGCCTTGTGCCACATCTAAGCTACGTTTAGAAATAAAGGGCAACTCAACGTGGTGATTGGTTAGCAAGCTTGTCTCGCTAGGACAATTAAAACTAAGCAGTGAGTTCGATCCTCACTGGGTGCTCTATACTTTCGGCCTTTTGCCACATCTAAGCTTCGCTTGGAAAATCAGAATATTATTATATAATATGTCAAGTGCCATTTTGTTATTCAAATTTTAGGGCTTACTGCAACATTACGTTAAAATCCAGCTTCCCGTATGATCACCGTAGTTAAGCAACCTCGAGCCTTGTCAGTACCTAGATGGGTGACCCTTGGGAATACCAGGTGCTGCTATCTTGTATGTGCGGGTGATATCATGGATAAAAGGCTCGGAATTGTTAATCGGAATGCAGAGTTCCAATTCCAGTTGTGTTCGTTATATTAGGTTGGTGCAGAAATAATGACGTAATAATGTCGTTTTTTGACGTATTTTTAACGTCAAAAAACGACATTATTACGTCATTGTTTTTGCACCAACCTAATAATAACTGATAGAGGTTGATATGCTGCCAAACAAAAAACAACCAACGCATCAACTTTTTCTTGTAGAAGAGTTATGTCCCTTGAATTGGTAGAGTTTTCCTACGTTGTTAGGTTGAAACATAACTTTATTTATGCTGATATTTCTTCTTAAAATAAAGTAAAGTCCAGTTAACATTTTATTCAATTATATATTCACCATTATTTCCAATGACTGATTGCCACATACCAAGCAGCTTCTCGATGGGATGTAGTTAAAATTCCGCAGCCTTTGATGTTAAAAATATTAACACGAACTTTTAAATCTGCTTTTCATTAGAGGTTTTCCCCATTAAAGCATTTAGCAATGATCGAAAACTCAGATGCATAGAAGCACCTCTTAACTGCTTATGTTCCCAGTTTCACCCTGACCCGGGGTGGTAGCATTTGTTAGGGTTCCAGTTATGGGCAAATACTTAACCCCGCAAACTGGGGCCAAAACACTATGAAAGTGTAAACATACGTTTTAATACCAGAAATAATTTATAAAAAAAAAAAATCTGACCAGCTATACATTTTTGAAAACAATCTGTTTGTCTTTAAACAAGTTTAATTCGACGCCTTTTGTTAGGAGTTAATCATTTATGTTTTTACATTTGCCATTATTATTTATAAAATTATCTCGAAACATGCACAGTGTAACCCGGATATAAGAGAGTTCTCGGGACCGGAGAAGAAGTATCTTATATCCGGATTTCTCTTATATCAGTTTTGGTCTAATTTATATACATTAACACAGGCTCCAATTTGGGACTAGAGACAATCTCTCTTATATCCGGGTTTCTCTTATATCCGGTCTCTTATATCCGAGTTACACTGTATATGCGCGTGTTTGTGTATATGTGCGTTTGTATATTTCCGTATTTGTGTGTATGCGCGTGTTTCTGTATACGTGCCTGTTTGTGGATATTCGCGTGTTTGTGTATATTCCCGTGTTTCTATATATGCGCGTGTTTCTGTATATGCGCGTGTTTCTGTATATGCGCGTGTTTGCGCTGATGTATATATTCGCCTATTTGTGAGTGTTTGTGTGTGTGCACGTTAAATAACCAAGGAAAAACCTTGCCTTTCCGATGAAGGGATTAGTGATGGTGTTCATTTCTCCTTTAGGGAGTTCGATCCTTACACTTCGGTATCAAAATAAACCCATCAATATTTACTCGAGTCGAACCTTGAGTGTTTTTTTTTTATTCGTGACTATTTCATTAATGACTTTTCCTAATCAAAACCTATTTCTATCATTAGAGAGAATTCATTTTAATACATATGCTTAATTGTGTTGACACTTTTTCCTCCTCTTTTTTGTCTTTTGGCATCGGTTAATCAATTCATTTCATTTGTAATGTTTACTTTTATCGAATTACTGGAAATAAAACAAAAAGCACCTTTTCTTGTTCTACGAGAAAAAAAAAACAAGGCTTCTTCTAATGATGTCAATTGTTATTCATTTCCTGATGAAGGGAATAAATGAAAGGCTCTAAGTCGATATCAAAAACAGACTTTTAGCGCTTATATAAATATTTTCATGGCAACTGTGCTGACGAATTCTTTTTTTTTTTTACATGATGCTCAGCTACATGAATTTAAGACTGCTACGATACTGGCATCTACGTCCCACCCTTTTACCGTTGAATTACTTAAATATAACCGCCACTTCGACTCCAAAAGTTTCCTTTCTCGCAATTACCCCCTGTGTAAATCCCTTCGGTTTTTTTTTGGTTTTTTTTTTTTTTTAAGCATTTCACCCCAGGCAAGGCGGGAAGCCACTAGGACGCAAGGGGTTACAGAAAATTTAGAGCAAGATCAGATAGGAGTGATAGAAGAAAGGATGAGGGTAGTGGATAGATCAAGGCAACTGGAGATGTGGATTGACATTACACTTGAATAGCTGGAGATTATAGCTCACAGGGAAACAGGAATAGGGAAGGGAGTTCCACAGGCGAGAGGTGCGAGACATGAAGCTATTGGAGTAGAAGAGACGGCTACATTTAGGAGTTTCGACAGTGAAGGGGTGAGAGCGGGATGCCAGCCTTGCTTCCCTGATAACTACAATCTTCAAAAATTTAAAAGGAACGTCAATCGCTATCATCTTGTTGTAGGCTTAAAGAGGTTGCAAACAGACAAGAGTGCTATACGAGTGATGGAACATCAACACGCGCGTAGATAAAAGAATTGAGGTCTATTTAAAAGACAATACACTGCTAAAAGACAGGGAACTGGATAGAAGGCTAGAAATTCCCGAAGCAAGGTTATTTACCTTATCTCCCCGCGAGGCTGAATGAGGCACAAGGCCGCTTTTTTTTTAATAAACTATGTCGGGTAGCTGTCTACCACTCCAGATGAGAATCTGCCCTTCGGCATAGCCTCGTCTGGGTTCCTCTCTGCCCGCAAGTAGATGTTTGACTAGCATAGCTGGAGACGAATCTCCAACATATTGCCGCAGCAAGCTTATTGACCTTACTTCCCCGCGAGGCAGGATGTGGCATCAGGCCGCTTTTTAATGCGGAACAAAGGCGAGCCTGTAGGCTCGGGCAGAATTTCCACGTAGACGACGCAAAAAATGAGGCCAGTAGCTGTCTACCAACCCAGCGGAGACTCTGCCCTTCGACATAGCCTTGTCTGAGTTTCTCTTCTCAAAGGCAGAGAATTCGACCAGCACAGCCGGTGAGGAATCTCCGGCTAATTGCCGAAGCAGCCACCCAGGTATATTGTGTGGTCACGTTTACATCGCTAAATTTAAATCATACAGTAAATAACTTTAGCGTTTCTCACTTTACAGTTAAAAAAAATTAACTTTCAGATGAACACAACAATTTCGTCTTACGAAAAAAAAAGTAACAAAAAAAAACAAAACACACACCCTGATGATGATATTGTGCTTATGCCGAAACTACTCAGAATAAATGAATATGCATCAATATGGTAATTTTCTCTCTTCTTTTAATAAGGATACTAAGAATTTTGTCAGTGAATATGGGAAAAACTTATTGAAAATAAGTAGACCAAACTTGTCTAAATTATTAACATGTGTTAATGAAATCGTGCTGACATATACCAAAATATACGCACTATATATATATATATATATATATATATATATATATATATATATATATATATATATAAATATAAATAAAAAGAAAGAACAGTAAGATATATAATCCGGTGTTCTTATAGGTATTTTTATTTTTACAAAATAGTGCTCGATGTAAATTTACAGAGCATTAATATTAATTGATTTAAAATATGATTTTTCCACTACACATTTCTAACCATGTTTCAAAAATGGAAGCTAAAAGCCAAGAATTTAATTTTGCAATTAAATTAAAGACATTAGTTCCATTTCATCCTGACGAAATGGAACTAATGTCTTTAATTTTGAAACATAGTTAGAACTGTGTAGCGGAAAAAACATATTTTAAATCAATTAATTTATAATATATATATATATATATATATATATATATATATATATATATATATATATATATATATGTGTGTGTGTGTGTGTGTGTGTGTCTGTGCGTGCATTTAAGTACGTATGTGTGTATGTATACCACTTACCCCAAACGTTATTTTGTGGATACACGTGTTTGAGTAGACGTCCTTTTAAAAACAGTGTGAATTGCGTCTACTGGCTTTAATATTTGTAAGAATTGAAAAACATGTTATAGTTTTCGTCAGCTTTCAAACATCCGTCCTTAATTGGAAAGAAAGCTTATGATATTATATTGCAGGAAAAATCCAATACTTAGTTTATAAGTTTTTGTTCTTATATATATATATATATATATATATATATATATATATATATATTATATATATATATATAGATAGATAGATAGATAGATAGATAGATAGAGAGATACAGATTTAGATGGAGTTTTTTTTATATATATATATATATATATATATATATATATATATATATATATATATATATATATATGATAAAATATAGTTTTGTGATTACTGTGTTAAAGTGCGCAATATTAGGGATATGTTGTATGTAAATATAAAAGTGGAGGTCAACAGCCAGCGACGACAGTCTGCTTCATGCTGAGACGCAATCTTTAGGCCATCTGACTTGAAGATTGCGTTTAAGTACGAAACACTGTTACCGCTGGATGTTGATCTCTATGTCCACTGACTCCACCTGTGTTCACTTTCATATAACCTGAATATTGACCTATAATCCTTCCTATATAGTTGTATTAAGGGGATGCCTCTAAAGTAATATATCTTTTTTATTTACATGGAAACTGCAGCGGATAAAAGTAGCTGAATGTTATATTTACTTAGAGCAAATATTTATTGACTAAACATTGTCTTTGCCGCATCAGCATTGGCTCTTTATTTTCGCCACTTATATAAACTGCAAGAAGACAGAATTCATCAGTCAAAAGATGAGCCCAAAATGCGATTTGCAGATCGGGGACGCTAAAATCAAGCAGGTGCGAAAGTTTAAATATCTGAGAAGCGTATTGACAGAGGACGGTAAACACGACACCGAGATCCGTAGGATGCATTCCAAAAGCTAGGCAAAGTATTGCGAGGCAGGAGGATTTCTTTGGTAACAAAGAAAAGAGTACTGAGCTGTTCTCCTTTAAAGCAGCGAATGTTGGACGGTCTCCTCAAAGATGAAGAAGAGACTCGAGGCGACAGAGATGTGGCTCTACAGAAGGATGCTGTTGATATCATAGGCCGAGCGTGTGAGCAACAATGAAGTCTTAGAGAGGTTTCAAACAAGGAGGAGGCATATACTTAACATAAGGA